GCTCTCTCTCTCTCTCTCTCTCTCTCTCTCTCTCTCTCTCTCTCTCTCTCTCTCTCTCTCTCTCTCTCTCTCTCTCTCTCTCTCTTCCCGCCGCCGGAGTATCCGAGAGTATGAACAGTAGGACGATGCCTTATTTGTCACTCATTTTGCGAGGGAGACGGAAACAAGGAAACACAAAAACCAAGGAACGGTATATGCCTCTGGAAACGAGTCCTGCAGGAGGAATGCAGAAGAAAGAGGCGAAAAACATTCTGGGACATGATTTTTTTAAGGAAAAATCGGAATAGAAGACCACTCGAAAGCTGAAGGCCTGCTAATGTGAGAGTCCGGAGAAAAAGAAGCATGTACTCGAGCAAACAAAGGGGAGACCACGGCAAGAAACACGCAAGTGACGATAAAAATCACCACGCGGAGCACCGGGAGCACCAGAAAGCACATTCACAAAAGAGTAGTTGCCAGGTCTACAAATTGACACAAGCATGGCGAAGAGAAAAGAAGACAGCATCAAGGAAAAAGACAAAAACATCAGAGCTCGGCCAAAAAAAATAAAAAAAGGAGGAAAACATTTGACAGTCCCATCCTTCTTCCAATCTCCCTCCTCCGGCCATCCTACTCCTACTCCCGCTCGCTCTCTCATATTCCTTTCTACAGATAACTCCCCACTCTACACTACCTACACTCCCCACTCCCCACTCCCCACTCTCCCCTCTCTTTGTTACACCTCATGAAGGTTCCCTCATGCCAGACAATCTCAAGGCCAGTCTCAAGGTTGACCCATTAACCAGTCCATACTTGCCAAGTGGCACGTTCTCCTCGAGCCGGCGTCCTTCGAAGGTCAAAAAGTACAAACTCTTATCCAATTTCCATGTCTCGAAGACGACCACCTCCAAATCTCCAAGCGTGTCAATGTCCGGGAAAACCCTGACCACCTTCTCCCTCGGCTCCCCACATCCATGGATGAACACGTTTATCGTGGCCGATTTACAGCCCTTGGGCGTACAACAATATGCTTTCGCGTTCTCCCCCTCTTGCATCGTAGTAGAGTGATCGCTGGTCGACGAAGGGCCTTCTCCTCTTCCAAGGACCTCCTCTCCATCTGATGCTCCGCCGAAGACCACTTTCGCCGTTGTCCCGGCGGTCCCGGCCCCTCCCTTAACCGGCGGCTCATCAGCGGTTGATCCTGCGGCTGCTATTGCTCCTCCTCCTCCTGATGCTGCTGCCGCTGCTGCAGCCCCCTCCCCCGACCACTTCCTCTGCCGTTTCGTCTGCTCCTTGGCAGTGGGACTGGCCAGCCAGAGCGCCACACGTAGGGACTCTACTTCAGCCATTAGAGCGTTGATCTTGGCATCCTTCTTGGCGAACGCCGCCTTAACGGTTTCAAACGGACAGTAGGAGAGATGATCGTGCATGAACCGCCGTTTGGGAATCTCGCGGCAACCATGTTTGGCGTGGATGCAAAGCACGCTGACCTCGACGCACTTGGTAGAGAGATGGGTCATCATGTAGGCGGAGCGAATCATCTTGCGACACCTGGCACATTCCACCGTCTTCCACTCACATCGCAGCTCATGCTTCGACAGCGCCGCGGCCTCCTTCTTTATCATGATGACAGGGCACCCGTCCGCGGCATAGCGGCACGCAACCGGGGCGTACTGACAAGCTGCCACGTGTTCGTCCAGCTCAGATAGGGCAAGCACGGCATCGCAACGGCTCCACTCAGGGTAGCACGGCGACGTCGTCGAGGCCTCGAATTTGCCGATGCCGCGGTTGTACGACACGCCATACTTGCAGTGAACCTTGATGGAGTTGACTATGTTACGCAGGGCGAAGACGGGGATCCCAGGGAGATCACCGTGGGAGGAAGAGAAAGCAGAAGGCAAGCACCCGAGGCCAGGAGTGGGTCGCTGCATGGAGATCCGGCAGACGGGACACGGACCTTGGCGCCCGCTGCTGTCAGTGACCCGCCTTAGACAGCCACTACACAAAGTGTGACCGCAAGGAATGATGGCGATGGCATCCTTGAGTACGTCCAAGCAGACAGGACAGAGAAGATCGTGGGAGACCTCCGTCAAAGTAAGTTCGTGGAGGGAAGGCCCTCGAGGGACAGGACCATAGTTGCTCGGGTCCACCACGGAAACCCCGCAACACCCATTGTGGTAATGAAACAAAGGGTCGGTACTTACCCTCTCCTCCATCTATACTCTCCCCCTCCCCCTGCCCCTCTCCTTCCCCTTCCCCCCTCCGTCTCTCTCTCTCTCTCTCTCTCTCTCTCTCTCTCTCTCTCTCTCTCTCTCTCTCTCTCTCTCTCTC